ACAACTGTTTGGACGTGGGGTCCAAGGCTACTACTAGCAGGCTTGGGATTGGGCTTGGATATCAGGACACGGAGCAGCGGCTTCGCTGAAAAATTAGTCTTTCCCTCGCCACTGATACCGTCGCAACCCAATCTCCACATACTCGACCCAGAAGCCAGAAGCCCGTGATGCGCCAAGCCCGAAACCGTCCCTGCCTGGAAAGGTACAGGACATCACCGGTGTCCCTCTTTTCGAGATGCTGAAGGAACCTCTCGAAGAGCATCTGCTCCTGCGGGGCGGGCTCCTTCAAGGGGCCTTCGCAAGGACAACCTAACCTTCTGGGCGTAAAGGGCTTTTGGCAAGCCTTGAAGAAAGCCAACAAGGGCGGGCAATCGGCAAAAGTTCCAAAAATAAACTGCTGTCCACGGCTCGGGGTTTGAGAAGTCGTTCGGGCTGAGGTGTCGCATCAGACCCGAGACGTGGTGCACGCAACATTCCGGCCCACGCCGAAAGATCCATGCCAAAACTGTCAAATCTCCAACAACCTTTATACGCATGGAATTATAAACCCTAAACCCAGCATGCCCGCACACTGAATCCCGAGCCCGAAAACTAGAACCTCGAAACGCTGACACCCTGGCCCTTAACCTTAACCTTAACACCTCTCAAAAACCCACTCCGAGAAGCCCCTTCTCTGAAAGTCCCTATATATGACTACTATAACACTGGAAAAATACTTATACATTTATAAACATACATACAGAGAGAGATACAGAGAGAGAGAGAGAGAAAGGGAACTCTCATACTTTATACACCCTAAACGCCCCCGAAGCCCCGGCCCCCCCTAAACCCAAAACCCTATAAGGCCTATAAACCCTATAATCCCTATAAACCCTAAACCACCCACAGCCAGATTTGCCTCGAGGGGTTGGACAAAGCGTCCCTCGGAGTCGACGGAGTCGGCACGGCCGTTGGACGTCCTCGGCGAGGATGGGGTTTTAGGGCTTAGGGGTTTAGGGTCTTCGGGTTTAGGGGTTTCAGCACTCACACTCGGACAAGCGTTTAGGGTTTAGGGGTTATATAATTTCGGGTTTGGGGGTTTCGACTCTCACACTCGCACAAGCAGGCAAGGCTCCTCATGGTTTGGGGGTTTAGGGGTTTGGGGTTTTAGGGTTTAGGGGTTAGGTTTAGGGATTTATGCCACCCTACTTGGAGGTTCATTAAGGGGGGTTTCGGTGCTCACACTCGGACAAGCCAGGCGAAGTTGTTGGTGCGTTGTCGGATGAGGTGAGGCACTTCCAAGAATTCCCAAACTGTTGAACACAATCTCAAGGGCATTTTTAGACGAGGTTCTTCAAAGGAGCCACGACACGGACAGGGTCTCAGGTAGGGGGGTTTCAGCACTCGCACTCGGCCACTCCAGGGCAGGCGAGGCATGTGGTTCGTGGTCGACTGGTTTAGGGCTTCGTTGTTTTTTCCATTTTTTTGGCGGGAGGGCTTGTGACAGTGTGGAAGTATATGTTTATATGTATGTAAGCATGCATGTATGACGTTTATGAACAGTCTTATCTTCACCAGCTTCAGCCCACAACATCAACGTATGGCGCCAAGATCAAGTTGAGGCTGCGTCCAAATCTCCGGTCCTTATAATCTCCTTACAGCACCCACCCCGTGAGCACAACTACGTTCAGGGTCTAAGGATCAGGGTTCTGGAGCTACTTTAGGGGCTTGAGCTTCGGGATTCAGGGTGTCGAGCCCTTGGCTCGGTCCGGGACTAGCAGGGCTCTTCGGAGTCTTTTTGGACTGGGGCTTGGGGCTTCGGCCTCGGCACACATTGACGGAGACCTCGCTGCGTCCAGCAGCAGATAGAAGGTGGTCGACACTCCACTTCGCCAAGCAGGGCCAATCCTCCTCCTTGGTCACGCGTTTGGAGTTTCAGGGCGAGAACCTGGAAGCTTGCGTGGTTACCGTGGCTTCCCATAATCCCAGATAGCAATAAAGAGTCGCAAACCCCCACCCCAGTACTAGAGCCCGCTGCACGTGGTTCTTTTGTTGGACAAGCGTGTTTTCGACACTCAGGCGAATCAGGCAAGGCTTGCGAGGTGAAGGCAACTTGAAAGGCGGCTGTATGTACAACAAGACACGCGGGGATCTGGGTTTTCGCCAGGACATACATTTGCACGAAAGCTTTGTAAGGGTATCAACTGACAACTAGCCATAGAGCTTAACTTAAGCTACCAAAACCTACAAACGATAGGTTCCGGTGGGTTCTGGTAGGGTGTCAGAAAGAACAGCTGGCCTGACCATTCTCAGTTGCAGCTGTGTCTCGGAGAGGTCTGTGAGCACCACAGGCTGCGACATCCCAACGAAATCCCGGATAAATTCCTGACTTCCAGAAGGGTTTATATAAAAAAAGAGAGGCTTCGGGTTGCAGGTTTTAGGATTCTACTAGGGCTTCATAGTTGAGGGATGCTAAAGGTCATAGGGTGTTAAGGACAAGACAGGGACAACCTCGCTGCGGAGCTGGAACAATCGCATGGTGCAAACGATGCAGCCATTTTCCACCATTCGAACATGTCTGCTTTGCAGAAGCCGCTCGAGACGCATGGAGGCCAAGTGCTAAAAAGTACCGACTCACATACTATAACATACGACAACGATAATCTACTGTAATATACCATAATGTACAATAGTACTTGACTGTAAGATACGACAACATACGCTGATATTCCATGGTCCATAATACACTATAATATACCATACTCCCAGTCTTGGCCTCAGACCAGCTCCATGGGTCTTGATTTTAGACTTGGCCAGACACTGACGCACGACAAAAACACGCAAGGCCGTCACGTCGAAGTAGTAAGACAAGAATCAGAGTAGGTGAGCAACCACGAAACAAGTCATGGGTCAGAAAACCATGCTGTTATGTGCTGGCAGCACTGAAGCAAAGCATGTTGACTGCAGCCAGCATGCTGCCGCGGACAGCTGCGCTGCGCTCCTTCTGGGAACCTCCCTGAGCACAGAGCGCGAACCGCTCAAAGTGGCTACTTGTGACCCCATTGTTCGTTCGTTGGGGTGGGTCTTGAGTAGTTTCCCGCCCGAGAGAGTCAGCAGTCCCCCCAATACATCCCAATCCTCCTCCGACTTGCTTGGTGGACTTCCTCAAGCATCCTTGGCAGCCTCTTACACACTTACACACAAATGTTATCCCCAATTCAATATTAACAGTAGATTTTTGTACGTTTTCGTAGATCACTCCCGCTTCTGGAATAATTGCCAACCCTCAAAAAAGCGCGAAACGGCCATGAGCCTCGGCCGCCAGAAGCTGCGAATGTTCCGAGCCAAGCGGGTTAGGCTCCGGAAACGCCGCACCTGGGTGGCACTTGAATATAATTGAAGCCGGGGTCCCCAAAAACCGGCTAAGTGTGATAAGGGTCTTACCCTAGCCTGGGCCCTATATATCCGGGTAATCCCCCTGGCGACCGAGGCACTTCAGTCGCCTGCCCTTTCCTCGGCGTGGGATTTGAGTCGAATAGGGCGGAGGTAGGGCATGTAGGGCTTATAGGATGTAGCTTCAGCAATCTCTGTACGCTTAAGCCACGGAGGAGACCATAAGATTGTTGTGGTTAAAGGACCCTCAGTTACTCCAGGTATGGGGCTTCCCAAAGAGATTGGGGTTTGGCGCTGTGAGTACAGGGCTCGGGGCCCTCAGAGCCTTTTCGAGCGAGGGACAACTGACACAATCAAACGGCTCTCCCTACAGACATTCAGATGCGAGAGGTCTGTCAAATGAGCGGCTGTACTCTTCCTAATCTTGCATGGCGATCAAGCCGAACCAACGTTCGTCTATTGCCGTCACCTGCACAGTGCGCCTCATCACTGTGAAGCGAGGATGCTTGATATTGACTGGCATTCATGATCACACAAACACATCGAAGGTCCACGGTCTGCTCCGAGCGACCTTCCACGTTGCTATCAGCTGCTACTATATGGATCATAGACAAGGTGGGCAAGTGCAGCCCGGGACTCTGGGCTGACAGGGCAGCCCCGTACCCAGCCCCATCCATGCTGGACGAAGCGGAAGTGCTGAGGACTGAATGCAGGAACATCTAACAAGACCGCTTTCCCGGTGGATCTCTCAAACACGCATCGTAAACATCGCTTCTCGCTTGCTTGCAGGACTCATTAGACTCATTCGCCCCGTGACTTCGAGCCGCATGGCCCAATCGGCGCTGTTCTCAGGGTAATTCCATGTGTGCCCGATGTGGGTCACCATGCACTTGCCCTCTATCTCACACTAGTACACAAAGTCGGGAGGGGCTAATCAAACCAAAAAGTCTCCAAACTCCCCAGCTTTTTCGGCATCTCTCAAACTTTGGGAAAACCGGAAGCCCCAATGGTAATGCCTAACCAGACCCCCGGCCTCAAGAGGGGTTGCAGATTTGCGCTTGATGTGTTTAGGGCGTCTAGGGGGCTTGAACATGTTGCACCAGCATCTGCAGCGAGGCCCATCAGTTCCTCGCATTTTTAGTGATGCTGAAACCACGTTATTGAGTGCATCCCTGGGCTCGCAACAGTGCAGCCGTCCTTGTGCCGCCCGCCCTGGAATCAATCTGCAGTCCCGGCCCTTTTTGCAGCTGGGCTCTAAGTGTCAGCCAGCAGTGTGCCCTGTTCTGTTGACCCTTAACCGAATGTACTACACCGCGCAATCCCTGCCCTGCTTTACTTTGTCGCTGGATGCCTTTATCCACTACCCCACTATCTGCAGGGCTTGAAGGAGTGCCACTTCAGTGTGTTCGGACTCCTTATCGTTATCAAACCTTCCATGCCCAACCCTGATTCGCCATGTCCTTTCTATGTCATGAAATGCAAAGCAAGATTTGTAACTGCAGTAGCGTTAACCGTTCAACCCCAACCCTCAATAAGACCTCTCAAACCTTGCAATCCCGAACCTCAAGCCCTCAAAGCCTATATTAAACCCTTGACTCGCGCGGTTAACCCCAAAAGATCGCCGGCACCTTGTGATCCTGCAACTCCCAGCCCTTCGGCTGGCGCTTCGAAGCAGCTTGCCGCTCCAAGCTGACAGCAAGCAGGGTTTTGAGTTTAGGGTTTAGGGTTTAAGGTTTAGGGGTACTGGCTTCCATGGACTTGAAATAGGGCTTTAATTTAGGTAAGGGTGTATGTTTAAGATCGTAAGCCGTGGAGCCTAAACACTACAGCTGCCCATGTAACCAACGAGCCCCACCTGCCAAGCATCTATCGTAAACCAGGAATCCTCAAGAATCCGAAACAATGAAAGCATACGGCTCCAACGCCCTTCGAAACAATGACAGCACACGGCTCCAACGCCCTCCAGCGCAATACGCAGTTTCCATTCGAAATTACAGGCGAAAGCTTCCGGAATGAACAACCGTATACTACCTCACAAATCTACGCCAACAGTTGCATATCTGCCCAAAAGCCGGTTTCAGTTGACATCTTGTGTTTCTCGGCCTTGAGGTACCCATTATATAATTATAGAGCCACCGTTAAACTCTGAGTCCAGACACCGCGACTGATCTTGTGTATGAGGCCGCAGGCACCATGCAGACCCATGCAGGGCAAGGAACTCCGAACCCCTACCAAACACTCTGATATACTCCTAGGATCCCTCTTATTTTACACTATATCGAGGCTGCTAGATGTACTCCCTTATAAAATCCAAAGGAACCCATACCCCCCCCCCCTATAAGCACTCGTAAAAACAAAAAAACATCCCTGCACCCGTTGGTTACCAACTATGGAGCACTGTACGACTCCCTATCAAGCCTGTTAACATCCCCTTTCAAAGCCAGAGTGCAACCGCACAATACCCCCGCAAAACATCACGCATTTGCCCCTGAGACCCCCTATAACACCCATTATTGAAGCAAGAAGAACAACATACAACCCTATAACAAGAACTATACAGGTTTTATGAAAACCTATGGAAAATGAGCGGTTCAACACTAAACCTTAAGCCCTACAAAGCCTAACAAACCCCATCAAAACCTATGGAAGAAGGAGCAGCTTAACCCCTAAACCCTAAACCCTAAAAACAGCCCTAAATCGCAAACCCTAAACACAGCACCCTGCAAGGAAAGAAGAAGCCCCCGGAAGACCTCCTGAGGAGGCCCAGGGCAGCCTTGCCCGGGCCAAGCAGCAGCACCTCAGGTTTAGAGCCCTGTTTAGGGTTCAGCGGTTTAGGGTTTGGGGGTCTATAGGGTTTAGGGTTTAGGCTTTTTTTTTCCCTCCCACTTAGCAAGGACGAGCCCGCATTGCAGGGTTTAGGCTTTGGGGTTCAGGGTTTAGGGTTTCGGTGGACTCTTGGGGGGCTTTGGATTCTACAAGTGGGTTCGAGAAGGAGGACGGTAAGGGCCACTGAGGGATTTGCTATACGGGGTGCTATAGAATGGGTGCAAACGGGGTTTAGGGCTCAGGGCACAAAGAGCCGTGGGTTTCGCGAAGTTTTTTTGACAGACTTCGCACAGGTTTCCCGCAGGGGTGTCTAGGGGTTACGTAAAGCACTATACGGGGATTACCTTACAAGCTGTAAGAGATGCTATCAGATCTTGAGGCTAGGATGTAAGGTGGTGAGATTTTTCGCGGCTGGAACCAGGGGGATTCGCAAAGTCATAGATCGGGGTCCCTGAAAGGGTTTATAGTGTTTCTCATAAGAGCTCTCGAGTTTTAGTTGCCTCTACAGGAGTCTAGGGACTTATCATGCCGAGTCGTGGTTTCAGCAACTCCCACATCCGACATCCCGAGTGCAGACTGAGGTCGGGGCAGCCACGGCCTCGGAGGAAGCATCATATTCAAGCACGGCTCTGCCAGATTGAAGGAGTCCCTACTCTGAGCAGGTCGTGGCAACGAAGCCAATTAAGCCGTGCGAGTGTGCAACGAAGTGCGACGCCTGCGCAGTTTCAACGAAGTTTCCCGGCGCCTCCGTGACAAATCACAGCCGAGTTGGAACAGCAGCAACCGCCGCTGAAACAGAAGACCGAGGATGCCCGACAAGCAGTGGCAGGAAGAGCTTTGCAAACCTCTCATTGCAAATCTTGTGTGTCACTGTGTCACGAGTGCGGTTTGCCGTTGCTTGCCACAGTTTGCGAGTGTCGCGGCCAGTGTTCGATTAATCTGCCATGACCCAAAGAGTCATTGCCCATCGCTGCTCTCGAGGCTCACGAACGGCATGCCAGACATCGCGGGAGCGGAACATGACAATGCGCCCGCTTAAAGGTGCGATGTCGACAAACCTGTCCATGTCAGGCCTTTGTTGCTCACGGGTCTGAGCTGAAGCAAAAAGCCCATACCTTTTCAAGTGCATACTGTTGAGCCATTAACAAACAAAAGGGCATGAGCAACTGCACAGCGAGGAACATGCTGGCGGCTTCCTTCCGCAAGCCTTCCGGCGCTTGGGCGGCTTCTTCGTCCAGCCTGTCGCCATAAACACGCAACTCACCACCATCGCCCGGTCGCCAGTCATCATTCAAGTACAGTAGGACGGTGACCATGCGCTGATTGTCCGTACCGCTGTAACTGTCTTTGTGGCAGTGGTACTCTGCCCCTCGGCGGTAGCTAGCTGCCATGATGTGAGGGTGCACCCTAAGCCTGGGAGCTGCAACGGCCTCGTTGGGGCTGCAAGCAGCGGCCGCACGGAGCAGGGCGTCTGGCAGGCCAAGCAGCTGCTGGCAGAGCGAGCGCAAAGCTGGGGGTGCCTGCAGCGTCTCTTCTGGGCTCTCGAAGTGAAGCCACACAGAGCGGGCCCCAACGTTGCAGGGATCCTTGGACGGAGTCACCTGCCCGGCCTCTTCCAAAGCCGCCAACTCCAGGTGCGCTGTTGCAACAAGGTCCTTGTCCACCGTGTTGTCCAAAACGGTAACGCCCACGCCCAGACCCAACCAGTCTTCCCCAGGAATCTGCCGGGCTATCCGTGGGCCCCAGAGCTCCGTGACCTCAGCTGGCCGCAGCTTAGAGGTCCTGCAGAACTAAATCAGACATACTGGGTGTGAACAGGATATGCATTTACGTAAACTTCTGATGTATGATTATCTGCAAAATTCCGGCGCCCAAACCGCCGTCAATCGCCATGCTTCCAAGCGGCCGCCCGGTGCGACACCAGCTGCCTTGCCCAGGAACAGCCGAAGGCTTCCGGTGGCTTCGTGAAGGTATCCAGAGGTGTGATGACGCGGCTGAGCATCTTTTGCAGGTAACGCTCGAAAAGGTCCAACCTGCACTAAAATGACAACAGAGATGCAAAACACAACCTGTGCAATAAACACACACACACACACAGACACACACGCACACACATGTGCATATATATATATATGTGTACACATACACACATACATACATATGTACATACATACCGACAGACAGACAGACAGACGGACAGACAGATGTGGTCAAAAACAAGCAATTACGCAGTATTACTACAGTATGTTTCGGCCAAACTTTTTGTTGCAGGAGGCTGGGCGAACAGTTTCTGGCATTGGAACTAGAATATGCACCGCAGTCCGTGCCGAAGCAAACCGAGGCACAGCTTGCTCTTCAGCTGTTCGTCGCTGGCGCCATGAGCCTCCTGGAGTGTTGGCCAGACAATGTCTTGAAATCTGCCGTTGCTTTATTATGTTCAGTCCAGGCTAGCCTTGGTTCTTTTTAATGACCCCGCCGTTGACAATGTTGTTCCTTTGGCTCTCTGCTATCATGATCTAGCATGGGTCTCAGTATCTCATTACAGGACAGGGCGTATACATTTCGAGAACACTTTTGTCGCAGCCATCCGGCGTCCACACGGTGGCCGCAAAACTCCGAACTGCAACAAGAAGCAAGGTTAGAGTTTATGGAACTTAGGTCTCGAGCACAAACATGCAAACACAGTGGGTGAGTCTGTGCGTGGATGTGTGCATGCATGCGTGAGTGCGTGCGTGCGTGCGTGTGTTTTCTTCGTTGTCTTGACTTGTTTCTTTGTTCATCCATTTTTGTATCTATCTAGTTATTGTGAACTAGAAAAGAGAGAGCTACATACGCTTCAGACGCTCTACAAACCCGGCGGGTGCCTCCGAAGGGAGCAGCTTCCCCTCACCGACAATCGACTCGCGACCTTTCACAGATCGAGCGGCTAAAGGATGCTTGTTCAAATCTAAAGGGATTGCAATTCTGGGCTTCGGCCCGGCCTCAAGGTTGGGGAAACAAGGGCAAGGCCGTTTCAGGGTGGGGTCTTATAATATAGGGCATCAGCATCCTCACTCGCAATGCGCAGGTGAGGCTTGTAGGAGCCTCCATCTGGGGATTTACGATGTATAAGCTTCAAGGTCCAAGGCTTCATGCTGAAAAGCTGGCAGTTGTATGGAGGTGAAACCATGTTAGGGGTCGTAGATTTTTTTCAGAGGAAACAAGACTCGCTTCGGACATGGCCAGAAGCTTACGGTGTAGGCTGAGAAGTTGAGTAGTACCTGCAGGCAAGACACAGGGCGCCAGGCCCCCAGTTTCCGACTCCGACTCTTGAAGCTACAAGCCCTACACCCCACAATCCGCAAGCCTGGAAGCTGAACCCAACAATCTGCACCAAATCTGAAAACGCCTCCAGGCACAGCTCAACCCAAAACCCACATCCCCAAACTCCCGGAAGCCAAGCATCTATAGAACCTGGCTTGTGGATCCAGACCTAGACACAAATGACAGAGGCCCTGACCCCCCAAAAAGCCTCCACGTTGTTCCCTAAACCCTATACCCCGAAACCCATTCAGGTCTTCACCTAGGAGAAACTGCCTAAACCCTAAACCATAAAACCCTTTAAACCCTTTAAACCCCAAAACCTAAAACCCTAAACTTCGAAACACAAACAGGGAGAAACTGCTCCGAGCCCTGAGAGGCATGGCGACCTCGAGCCAAGTGATGCTCCGCAAGCTCCTGTGTCTGTGGCTCGTCGGGACTCTGAGGTTTGGGTTTCGGCGCAGTGTAGGGGCTTCGGGATTTAAGGATCTAAGGTTTATAGAGGTTTAGGGGTCGGTTTCGGAGTTATTGAAGTTGGACATGGCTCAGGGCTTTGGGGGTCGGTTTCATGCGGCCTCTCGAGCTATACTAGCTATCAGTCTTCGTATGAGTATTATTCTAGTCGCGTTTAGCATGCATACGATCATTGGTTCAGAAATGTTGGCTTTTATAGGGAAGGGGATGCAGAGTTCAGGAGTGTAGATGCTGACATCGGTGATTCGCAGTATAGCTGCCTTGTACTTTATTCGAGGCTTCAGGATGAAGGTCGTGGGCCAAGGTGGCTTGAAAGCTGCGGGGATCGAAGCAGCTTCTGTGTTTTTGCTTGGGGAGAGGGCTGTTGTGCTGAGCGCGAAACTGACGGAACTGATCCTGGCTCTATGCCACCTGCCTTGGTCTTGTTATCACGGCCCTCTAGTCGTCTGTAAATCTCTTATCCAAAACGGAAAGCTCCAAACCCCGCACCAGATAACTGCCCGCAGACCTCAGCCCGCTTGTGGAGACGCGGCACGGCCTTGGCGATCTCCAATGGGCTTGCCTTGTACCTCGTGGGCCGGGTTAGAGGGATCTTGCTCGGAACGGTTTAGGGTTTATAGGGTTAAGGGTACATGTTTCCAAACTGCTACACTGGCATTTGGGCACCGGAGACACTCCAAAGACCCTTCATCAATGAAGCCTTGATGGATGATGTCTGTAGGACGTGTTGGCAGAGTCGCGACAAACTGTAGCTAAGCGACAACAACCCGAAACGCCACGCACGCGAAAGCCTGAGCCAGAAAGCCCGAAGACCACCGAGACTTAGCCTGTATATATATATATATACACACACAAGCCATATATATATATATGTATATACACATATATATATATAGATATATGCACATACACGCATGTATAGATGTAAATAAATAAATACACAAACAAATAAATAAATAAATAAATATATGTATATGTATATATACACACATAGATAGATACAATGAAAATAACCATAAATACTTTGGATCGAAACCCAGTAACAATCAAACGAACCAAAACGAACAACAAACAAGGTGCCTGAAACATGGCCGGTAATCATGTTCTATAAAAACCCTGCAGAGGCAGAAAATCTTGCCAGCAGCAACAGTATCTCAATGACATCTCGATGACATCCTCACGACCACTGTCATCATTAACATCACCACAATGCCCAACCTTTCCCCAAAGATTCTCATCATCGTCAGCATCATCAGTATCAACCGCAACATCGCGGCAACATCTCAAAACGAAACTCCTCAATTCGCTCCGGGATGCGGCAACAGCAGTGCCTCCGCTAGGGGCCCACGCACGTCCAAGGGCGCCTTTGGGACTGTTCTTGCAAGCGGGCTTTCCGACACAAGAGCACACTGGACTGGAACCAGTATACACTAAATTCCCGACTGCTCGTAAGTTCCCAATGCTTTCGTTAAGGCATCATGGATCTGCTGCAGGATGTGGAGCTTTCAAAGTCTAAGTTTGAGTGTGGATTTCGAGCTGCTAGCAGCAGGGATTGCGAGGAGTAGACTTCAGGCTAGTGCGCGGTCTTGCCTTGGAGATCTGCTTCTCCAGCTCCATCAAGCCGTCCTCCGCCTTCCTCGCAAAAAAAATAAATTGTTTTGTCTCTTGGGGTTAGGGTCTATGTTGTTGGGAGACATAGCTGGCGCCTCCTGGCACTATGAAAGGAGCGCTCTGGAGCGTTGAGAACATGTGTACGAGTTGCCTTTGGCTCTATATGTCCTCTTTGGCCACCGCTTTTTCGACATGTTCTTGGCTTGCTCTTCGTCTTCATGTCCCTCTCCCTGTCGCTCTCTTCTGATCTCTCTTGCCGTTGTGCCGAAGGAAGCAATGCAGTCCGAATGCAAGGATTCTCTCTCTCTCTCTCTCTCTCCCTCTCGCTCTCTCTGTCTCTATCTATCTGTCAGCCTCTCTATCTAGCTACAGCTACCAGTCTATTTAACTATCACCTATCTACCTCGTCTAACCTAATCTACTCAAGCAGTGATGAATCCAAGCTAACGAAACCTAGCTCAACATGTTTTGGCTCTTTGCCAAACAAATGAAATCTAGTCTTGCTACCCAAGTCTCTGCAAGTATATAGATATGTCTCTGTGTGCGTGCATGCATGCGCCTGGGTTCTGTGACCATGCATGGATTTACAGATAGACGGGACGGGGAGTACATCCAAAGCCTCTAAGCGGATGCACCAGTGGGTCCGCACTTTGATTGTTTGCCCAGGATAGCTTTTGCTGCTCTCCGTCGTTCTCCCCCTCTGTGTGTGTGTGTGTAGGTAGGTGTGTGTGTGTGTGTGTGTCTGTCTCTCGCTGTGCTTTGCGGCAACAAACACAAATGCCCTAGCAAAGCTGCATAACAGAAACAATTGAATGAAGCGAGCAGGGGCCAGATAAAAGGCGGAAAAACTGGCCCTACCCAGCGTAACAGCTCTATATGCGAAACCCTGCAACCCTACACGATCACGACACTACATCGAACCAGCAACAACTCACTTCACGTGCTGCTTTGATAAAACCATGCTTTCACTCTAGTACGCTACGGTTCTTGGTTCAGTCATTGCAATACGATTACGAAGTTATGTAGCCGAAGGTTGTTGGCAGTTACTATGACTATGATTATTATTAGTATCATATTTGTTGTTATCGCTACCAGATGGCCAAGGCACCTGATGGTGGAAGTGATGTCCTCCTCCTCGCGAGGCAAGCACCTTGGCAGCGTGCCCGTAGCAAGGCCCAAGCCTCAACTACTTCTCTGGTTCCGAATTACCGTGCACCTCCCTGAAGCCCTGCAAGAAGAGTGAGGCCGATAATGGTTCAAAAGATAACTTAGTTCCGCTTCAGCCCGGCGACCAAAGCTCGCTCTGGTGTTTGATGTTCTTTCGCTGCGACAAAGGCGCAGCATCTCCCGCAGATCCCCCGCCAAGTTTTTGACCTCAGCCGGCTCGGGATGCGTACTGCCAACACTTCAACAAAGGAACACTCCACAACTCATGACATGACCAATGGACTTGCAGTTCGTGAGTTCATCTGGCATCGACGGTCGCAAGGGTCTGCTGCGGATTGCGATTTCGCACTCGGAGGCTAGGTGTGGCTTTGGTGCCAGGGTCGCTGAGAACTCGGGCCAACAGCGAAAGGGGGTCTCCTGTGCAATTAAGGTCCGGGGATGACACTAGGAGTGCTGCAGTAAATCATTCTCCCTCTCCCATGCTCTTGAGCTTTGGGCCAAAGCCAGTGCTACAGACATCCACAGCTACAAACATCCCCTCGCAGTATATCATTAAAGCAATTCAGTACAAACTAATGATAAATTCCAAAAACCTACATAAATATAAAATGAATAAAACTTACATTTACAAAACAATGTACACACACTATTTTTACATACATACATACATACATACATACAAACATACATACATACACATACATGTGCACAAACATAGGTGCGTATATGTAGAGGTTTGCGCATGTGTGTGGACGTGCGGAGGTTTAGACGGAGCTGTCCCCAAAAGCTGCTGGCGCATCTGAAGCAGGGCCAGGATGAGGGCAGTCTGCATTCAGTCAACTCTCCCCCCCCCCCCCCCCCAAACTCTTTCCTGAGGTTTGGGCGTCTGGGTTCCATGTCGAGATCTGCCGAATGGCCAGCTTCCTCGTGCCACTGCTCGTTACTCACACTGCCTTTTCACTTGCCGATGATCTGCCGGCTTAGTCGTAGCTTTGCATAAGGAAGAAACGACCGTTTTGGTAGTCAACAGCACTCAACGCCGACATCCCAAAGCAGAATCAGCCAGGGAGTCATGAGGCACCAGCAAACTCAGCACAAGCACGCCTTGCCACCAGCAAGGTATCGAAAATTGACCCAACGAAGCCAACAAAGCAAGCCTCCCAACAGCATGCCAACAACAAACACTGCACGCATAGTTCAATCTTAATCTAATCTTACATTGCATGTCGCCCCAGCTTCCAAATTGTTTTGCAGAGGCGCAGTGTGACAATAGTTTGGTCAGCGATAGCAGGGTTTCAGCAACCCAAAGCAGGGAATCATGCTATAGTAAACAAGAAACGAAACTTGGACTTACCGCTGCGCTTCGCTTCCCAAGCCAGAAAAGCCCTGCATCCTATCACAAGCCTAAAAAGCCCCCAATCCCAAAGCCGCCAACCCTGGAAACCCTGAGCCTCTTTTCTGCACAAACCCTGAGCTTCAGAGCCCTAATCCGCATATGAAGACGATAAACCCTCAAGTTCCCTAAAGCCGGAGCTCATCAGGATCACCCCTCGCTGGCCACGAGGAAGTCCGAAGCGCTCGAAAACCGGAGCCTCAAACTGCAGGAAACTTAGCCCTCCACCTTCAGAGGTGGCATCTGCAGCGCTACTTATGCTGAGAATTAGCATAAAAGTCACTCCCTTATAAGTGTCAGACAATATAAGGCCCACGATGAGGGGTACTATAAAGGTTGTTTTTCAGGGTAGATCCAAGGCTTATCTTATGAAGGTTGCCATACAAGTCATCACAAGAAGGGCTGCTATAAGGATTGCTGTAGGTGACAGCAGGTTGCCCAAGGGGCCCCCGGGTGATTATATGGAGGGCAATTACTGACTACTACTATGAGGTTTGTCATACGGGGTACACTGACTATAGTACCGGCACTGAGCCACAACTATACCCTGAATCTGAAATACTTCCTTACTAGTACGGGTCATGTGCTTCCAGGACATTCAACAGCAAGCTAAGGGAAGCTTTAGGAGCACTGCATTTCCGGTACCACTCTGAGAGAGGTCTTGAAACGTTCATGTGTCCAAGTGCTTTCCAGACTATAGTTTAACTTTCTCGCTGCTAGCAGCAGATGCTTCCAGATGCAAAAATCAAGACCTGTCGAACCAACTTCTCGACAACTGGAGACGGACAGCGGTTAAACCCTACTTTTGTGGACTGTTTTACTACATATCTTCGCACCAGAAGCAGAGGAAGAGTGCATGGGCATCATGGCACCGCTTGACTAGACGCCCGAACTTGAGCAACCGCTGGAAGACCCTCAACAGGCCGGTAGAGCCATGGGGCCAATATGGGCTGCAGGGATTTGGGTGCTGCTGCAGGGTAGGTAGACTTGTAGCTGACATGCAAGCCGTTGTTCGTTCCTCTTGCCTGCACCGCTGCAGCCAGTGGCCCCAGTCCCGTCAAGAACTTCAGCCTTTCTTGGCGGCTGATTTGGGCTAAGGGTTTGGGTTGAAGGGGCTTGGGGCTCAGCGGTTTGAAGTTCTCGGCAAAGAGGGACCAGGTGGTTGCTGGTAGAGTGCAGGAATATTCGGGTTTAACTGTCTGTCTCAGCCTTCTAGCCAGCACTGTGGGGCTGAGGTGGACTCTGCTGCGCGAGTTTGAAGGGCTAACTCTTGGAACACTGTTGGCTTTGTTGGTGTCTTGTCTTCTAGTGTAGGTTCCAGAACTGAAGAAACTAGGCCTACCCAAGAAAGACTTCGATTCACAGGTCTCGGCAGCGAGAACGTTGTCAACGAGCCCGTCTCCAAAGGCCCCAAACCAAAAAGCCAATTTTGGAGCAACTCTCGAGAGCCAAGAAGCTCGTCGGCAACGTCTGCGCGAAGCCTGGGAAGACGCCGGACAGAAGGCCAAAGATGTCATCTCAAGGGTTCTACTTTACAACTGGACTTCAACTGTTCTATAAGGCCGAAACCCTCAAAACCCTGAGTCTGTGGGAAAAGCTCGAGATTTGCGATGAAGAGGTCATCGAAAAACGGTCAGGCCGTTAGCCTGAAAGCTAAGCATGCAACCGAGACTATTGTCTACTTTTAAGTGCTTCCCTACCCTTCCTCCCTCTATTTAATTCATGCCTGGGTGTATCTATCCATTCCTATATGTATGCATGTGCATGTGTGTCTGTACATATATATATATACACACATACATATATACACATACACACTGATAAACAAGCAAAAGAAGAACGAACACAGCAAACAACACACACATAATTATCGAAAAAGAAAAGATCAAGACACAGATGCCTAAATTTTAGGACCTAAATGAATGTGTGCACGTACAGCATATCATATCATATCATATCATATCATATCATATCATATATATATATATATTTATATTTATATTTATATTTATATTTATATTTATATTTATATTTATATTTATTACTGTATTTGTATAAACTTGTATAAATTTATATACATGTATGTGCATGTATGTATGTGTATATTTGCACCCGGGTTGTAAGTTGAATTGCATGGTGGCCTCTGCCTTCATGGTTGTCAATAGCAGCATTTGCTCAGGCGAAATAATGGATCGTGGAAGGCAGTCGAAACAGCAGTTGGTCTGATGCATGTGTGAAAGCAGGACACCTCCAGGGTCTTCAGTCTGTACTGTAAAGGACACCTTTATGTTTCGGGCTTCGTGGCTAAAGCTCCTAGACTTCAAGACTCCAGGCAAAACACCTGAGCGACAAAGCAGTCTGTTCGGCCTGTTTAGGGCCACAGTTAGATAACCCCTCTTCAAACAAATATATATATGCGAATCCCAAAATCAATGCACGGATTTGGCAAGAAGGTCATGGGTCTACGCTAGACTCAGCAGGTGCCAGGGCTGATAAGCAACTTCCGGATGCTCCCTTGGAAGGTGGGCTCCCCGTAGGCCACCTCGAGATGAGCAGCCAACACGGAAATGGGGTGCTCTCGCTCTCGCTCTATCTCTCTTTCTTTCTCTCTCTCTCTCTCTCTGAGCTTCGCGATGTATTCTCCAAGGAGGTAAACATGTCAAACTGATGGTGAAATATTAAAACACCCTTACACTTGTAGATTTCTCTTAGCCGCAGCCAGAAGCGCGAAAACGCGAGCGCCCAACCCTCAACAGATTTGGATGCCGTGTTCCACAACAGGGACAATGCCAAAGTTCGGGGGCAGGATGACAGTAGTGTAATATAGGGCATATAGGGCTATAGTGATAATAAGCCCTAAGGAGCAATGCTAAGTATAGGAATTGAGATTCGAGGGTGTAGGGCTTAGGAGGGATGGGGCTACAGCTGGGCTGGACAGCCCGCCTGAATATGCTGCTCCAGGACTTGCGGGCAGCCAGTACAAAGGTCCGATGACATTGGTGCGCTGCGATTTGTAACCTATAGGCCCCTTATCCTATTGTTCCTGCGCCAAAATACCATGCATGGACCCTCGAAGTGCTCGTTTGAAACCTTTGAATATCCCTCGGGTTCCCAATGATTATCCCATTAATCCTATGGGTGCTGTTGCAACAGCTCTGGCTTAAGAAGGGGACCGGCATAAGGGTACTACAGAGCCCATATCCACCCGAAACTCACCCGCCTCATACTACTACT